TTATTATTATTATTATTATTAGCTTGCGATTAGGCCAACTAGAACCACGCATGCATGCATCCTGCACTTACCGTGGCTCAGTAACATTATCGCGGTGGCAGGTGCATGTAACTTCTTTAATTGGGGACCGGCATTTAGCCGAGTCCGATTTTTATTCCCCAGGGTTGTTAGCCCTGATGGTGGAAGATGAATTGATGATTATGATAATGGGGGGTGAAAGGACGACACAGTCAACATACACAAATACATACAACACAACCATGCCCGAGGCGGGACTCGAACCCGCGATCCTTCGGTCCGAGATCGCTACGGCACTACTGCCTTAGCGATCTCGGCCACCGGATCGGCTATTTACTAAGTAGTTACTACAAATACACAACACAAACATTACAATATTTACGTATTACATAATACAATTTTACAAGATTATTATATTAAACCTATAATGCTAAAGCTGACATAAAATAACAATTATATTAAAAAAATAATGTTAGCATATACTAAAAAAATACAATTTATTTCTTCTAATTTAAAAAAAATTTGACAAATGGGGGAAAGTTTGCACTTGTAAGCAGCACTGTTGTAAGCAGTTCGTTCCAATTTTAAGTTATTTTGTTTACAAATGACAATTTACCTACGTCGGTTCTGTTTTCTTTACCGAATTTTAGAACCATGATCTTTCCGCGCGACCTCTCTGGGGTTTTGATAATCTTGCCCGCACTTTCCCCCACGGATGATCACCTCGTACTGATTTCAATAACGCACAAAGACGCGGTTTCTCCCTGCGTTTTTCCAAAGGTTCCCAAGATGTACATTCAGAATTAGAACGTCCTCTCCTAACAAAATTTGCGGTATATTTTTGTACTTTTTCGAGATATTTTATTTGCCCTAAACGATGTGTGTCCCAACATATGGAACCATATTCCAATACTAGAGATATTCCATATTCCGTACTAGAGATGTGTACTCTAATTCCCTTGCCTTTCTATTTCCGTTCCTAAGCACTCTAATCACAAAGTGTAATTTCTTCCGCGCTTTTTTCACTACAGAATTTACATCCACCGCCACATCCTCATTTACCACAATTCCCAAATATTTACAGATTTAGCCCTCGGAATATACTGATTTCCCAATTTGTATTCGATGCCATTTGTCTCTCTAGAACGCGTGAATTTGAGAACTTGCCCTTACTGGGATTTAATTTAATTTCATTTGTGGTAGCCCACGAATCTAGCCTATCTAAATCAGCCTGCAATATTTCTCTATCACGTGTGTGTTTAATTTCCCGATACATTGTACAGTCATCTGCAAAAAGTTGTATTTTTGATTCGATTTCCTGCCAAATAACATTAATATAGGCTACAAATAACAATGGACCCAGGACACTTTCTTGTGGCACTCCGGACGTCACTTCTGCCCTCAAAGAGAAATTTGACCCAATTCGCACACGTTGAGTTCGCGAGCTGAGAAATTCTCGAATCCAGAGAGCAATTGTTCTGTCTATGTTCAGCTTACTAATTTTTTGGATTAATTTATCATGTGGGTCGAGGCCAAAAGCTTTGGTGAAATCTATAATAATTGCGTGAACAATGGGACCTTCACCGAGAGAATCAGCAATGTCCTGATAGACTGTGACTCTCTGACTCTCACATGAATATTCTTTTCTGAAACCGTGTAGCCTTTCGTAATTATTAATGAAACCGTGTAGCCGTTCGCCTTATTCTAGATTTTATTTTTAGTATTGCTAACAAAAAAGCAAGCTCAGGCTCTACTTCTACCACAACTAGTGGACGAAGAGCTCAACAAAAATAGTGAAGGTCCTCTTCCGGCCTTGCGGATGGCGCCGTTGTCTCTTCATCAGCTGACGATCGGTGGGGCACCGAATGCGAAACGGCACTTTTCTCCCGGCCATTCAAGATTTCAGGAAGGGGCGATCGTAGAATGGAGAGTGAAAGGAATGCCGTCTTCCCTTACCGAACACAATCTGAAGGAATCCAAGAATGTTCTTTTAGGAGGTTTTCTTGTTCGATTTGTGTGCGGCATGTAATCCGCGCGAATGAATCCTTCACCCTTCCACCGATCGCTGCTCGGAGGCTTGCCTTGCCCAAGAATCTGCGACGTGCGTCACATACCGACTTTCTCTCGCAGAAAACTTGGGCTGCGCCGATGTCAAACGTTCCGCTGATAAGATAGGTGAACGCTAATGCTTATCAGCGCCCTGTTGGCAGGAAGTCGCTTTCCTGTACATAAGCTAAGAAACTGCCCGTATCCGCGTGTGCTCTCGTTATTGCGGGATTTGGACGACCGTCAGATGGAGGAAGGGCAGCTCCGAGTGGATCGGTGGTGGTCGCGTGTTGTCTTCGAACTCAATTAATATTTAGAAGTGCGCGTGATATGTTCGCTTTCCCGGTGCCGTATTGGCTCTAGAACTTCTCGCTATACTGGAGGCAGAGTACGCTACATCCCACCTTAGAAACTGTTACAGCAATCACGCCTTTTTTCTTGACCTCTCAGGACGGACGCGATTGATTGGAAAGCAGTTGTCGCTGTGGAGCAGTGCCTCGCAGCAGTTGGTTCGCGAGCTTTAAACAGGGGATCGGCGAAAATATTCGGCCGTGGAAATTAAATCTTCCGTAAGAAATATTTGGTATTATTAGACATTAAAGATAATTCCTTTCCTCTTACTGCACCGAGTATTGAGTTTTATTGCCTTGATTTGGTGCACTTCGGCACTGTGGCGATGCGGAAGGTACTCGGGGAGGGACATCCCCCGCGAGGCGATGTGTAGGTCAGCGCTGAATCTCCCCATTCGGCAGGGGAAGGACACCGCCACCTCCCGAGATTAGACAGTCACCGCCCTATACACCGTCATCGTGATGCGATGGATGTGGTGGGGTGGGTTCGGGCGGTGGCTTCGTGGGGCGGCGCGGGCCTGCGCCGGAAGGCACTGTGGCGCTGCGACTGGCGACTTGCAACGAGCAACGTGCTCGTGAGGTAGTCCATGAAGCGTGCCTGTTATAAGGCATGAATATTTAGAAAAAATCCATGCCTGTTTAATTTAAAATAAAGAGGGCATTGACGTCTCATTGTATACTCACATATCTGCGCATTTGCCGTTGGTCGGCCTCCCCTCTCCCTGCGTCGCACTCGCACAAGCGACGCTTTCTCATTAAATTGAATTCACCGATGAATGAACTCGAAGGGTCTCTTTTCGCTTGCACACTTGTCAGTGCCTCCTTTGAATGGTGTTCGAGGCCGCCGTTGCGCGAAACGACTCCGAACGAGAGTTGCGCATCGCTTCTTCCTCCACATCCTTCCATTTCATTCATTTGCACGTATTCTGGAGCTCCAGAATCACTACCCAGCCGCTACTCAACATAGTCGAACGGTGAATAAGAGTATCAAAAAGCCAAGTTTGCAATATTTCGAAATAAAAAGTTTCGGCTCCCTTTTGCGAAGGAGCGTTCGGGCTGCGAGGGGCAGGGACGGATCCAGCCGCGTTTTGGAGCGGGCCATCAGAGATTTGCGTTCAACAGTAAATATTTGTTATTATATTTGTATTTTTGTAGGGTATATATGACACTCTGCAATATTATTTTTTAAATAATTACTTACTTTTAACATAAATATTCCCGTGAATTTTGCCAAATAAAGGAAGGTAACGAACGAGAATTGGTGCGTTTGGGGGAGGAGCGCGCCCCTCCACTCGTGGAGAGGGGGGAGGCGGCGGTACACGCGGGCGGCCGTCGTGCCCGCTCGGCCTGCCGCCCCCGCCCCCGCCCCTTGCGCCCTCGCCGCCGCCCTCGCCGCGCGCCGCGTCGCCTCGCGTCGCCTCGCGGCGCGTTCGCTCAGCGGCGGCTCGGACGCGTTCGTTCCGGCCCCCCCTCCCCCGCCCGCCCCCGCTCCTGCACGGCTGCCTCCGGCGGCGCCGGGCCGGGCCGGCCCGCGTGCCGCTGGCGCGCGTCCGACCGCGTGGCATTGGTCCGGAGAGAGAGCGGCGCGCGTTGTTCTCGTAAGTGAAGTCAAGTGGCCGAAATCCCTTCATTAAGCGTCCGGTCGCGCGACGCAGCTTGAGAGAGAGCAGCAGCAGCAGGCGGCCCGGCCCGCCCTCGCCTCGCACAATCGCCCGCTTTGTTACGGCGTGAAGGCGCGGCGTTTGTGCAGCGGCGCTCTTATTCGGCGGCGCATCTGCCGGGGCGGGCGCGGCCCAGCTCAGCTCAGCCCACCGGCCCGGCCCGGCCCGGGCCTGGCCGCAGGGCTCGCCCGCGGCTCGCCCGCCGCTCGCCCGCCGCTCGCCGCGGCGGCCGCCGGAAGGGGCGACCGGCATGGAGCGCGAGGGCGCGAGGCCCGGACGGGAGCGACGCCGTGCCCCCGACCCCCGCCGCGCCCGCTCGCCCTCGCCCTGCCTGCCCGCCCGAACCGTCCGCGCTGTGGCTGGCCGAAATCCGCCGGCCGGAGCGACTCGGACGACGCGCCCGCCCCCGCCCGCCCGCGCCCCGCCCACCGCCCGGCGCCCGCGCCGCGTTCTCCGTCGCCGCCGCCGCCGCCGCTACCCCGCGCGCCGGCCGGGACGCGCCTCGGCCGCCGCCGCGTCCGCCGGCGCGCGCCGCCAATGCACCTTCCGGGGCGGAAACAGCGCGCCCAGACGCGGAAGAGGGCGGGTCCGTGCGGTCCGGACGTGTGACGGCGATAGAGCCAGCAGCAGCGGCGGCCGTCGCCGTCCGCCGACACCGCCGCCAGCCAGCCCCATTGCCCCGACGCTAGGCGCAGGCGCGGGTGCGCCGAGGGAGACGGCTAGCGGGAAGTTGTGCGAGATCGCGTTAAGCGCCCGCTCCCCGCCCCGCCGAGCCGCCTCCAGTGCGCGGTTGGCACACCGCCCCGCCCCCGCCCGTCGCCCCCGCCCGCGCCGCGCTGCGCTCCCTCGCCTCGGGGCCGACGGCGTCGAGGCCACGCGCCCCCCGGCCCCGAGCCACAGGGAACGACGTAGGCGAGCGAGACAGCCGTTGCCCGACGCTGGGCGCTCGACTCCATGTCCCCCGCGCGACGGCCGGAAGACTGCGGCCTGCGGACCCCTCGCCCTCCCGCCAACCACTGCCGCGACTTGTACTCGCCTGTACCGAATCGCACCGTCGACGTCTACCAGCTGCCATGCATCCGATGGACGTCTCTCGCCCTCCGCGCCGCCTGTTGAAGCGGAGCAAGCCAGCGAGCAAGCCCGCGCCGCGCCGCCCCGCCCTGGCGCCCACGCAACACTCGCGCAGCACCGCGGCCTCGTCGCTCTCCGACGACGTGTTCGTGGCCGTCGACCCGGCGGACTGGAGCGGCCGGCCGCACTCCTGCGCGCACAGCGCGTCGTTCGACGTCAATGCCATCTTCGACGACGGCACGTCGGTTCCGGTAGCGCCGCCGCGATTCAATAAAATGAAGAGACTCAAGTTGAGTAGTTGCGGCTCCAAAAGTGCGATCGACACGTGCGGAACGGAGCCTGCGCCTGCGAATCGGCTGCTGTTGTCGACCGGAGACCCCCCCACCAGAGAGAGGAAAGCCAGGTCCTTCTTCTCGGACCGTAAATCGTTTTCTACCAGTGCAGCCCTTAGCACGTCGCTGCAAAATCTAAACTTGTGCTCTGTCGATTCCAGTACGTCTAGTGATGCTACTCAGCAAAGGGCAGACACGTCTGTTGATGAAGGTGCTATGTGTGAATCTGGTTCCGATTCTAGTCTGCTGGAAGTCAACGTTCCCACCGTGAAACCGGTGTCTTCGTTTGTTTTTCCTTCGAATGTAGAAAATAACTTGAGACCTCCTTCACCCAAACTACGATGTATATCTTCTGTAGAAGATTTCACGAGTAGCATGTGCGACAGCTTGTTGTTGGAGAGACCACGCAAAGGGAGTGGTTCTAGTGACATCGCTGCGTGGAAACGGGACTTGCAACGTTCTCCTTTCTTTTCCCAAGACGATGACTATATGCCAGCAGAAGAGGTAACGTGTTCAAATGCAATATTTGAATACTATATCCAAAAAATTGAGAAAACGTATTGGTTTATGGGTTTCTGTTATCTTTGGAACACGTTTTTGTGAAGTATAAAATGTATGACGTTTTATTTAATTATTTATTTTTTAATGTACTTCTGGGCTTATGATCAGTATACATTTCACGTCGATACACAGAAAATATAATCCATGTGAGAGCGGCCGTATTTAAAAATTTAACTCTCATTATGTTATAAAATTGATATGTTAAGTAACAAATATTCTGAATGACTAAAGCGAACCTCTTGAAACAAATTCCTTCTCTAGCATTTAAATTTGAACTGCAGAAGAATAACTATATATATATATATATATATATATATATATATATATATATATATATATATATATATATATTATGAAGTGAAAGTTGTGTTTTATATACTTTTCTACAATTTTCCTTAATTTATTTTCTGTTAATGATAGAAATAATTGTTATCAGTAAAGGAAATAGCTTTCTCTTATTTTCTTTGTTCCTTTTTCCTTTCATAACTTTCAATATTATACTCGTCTAAAAGTCTGGTTGTAAATCCAATTTTGATCACATTATTATTGCTGTTTAACACAGTATTTAGTAAATGACAGAATGTAAATAAAAATATTATTATTGTTCTTGGATCATGCATATTAAAAATTGTACTTCACAGAAACCTGTTCTTGAACTTTGGCTTTCAAGAGATTCAACAAGGATGGATTAGAAATCCAAAATATGGAATGAATTGTAAAAATATGGGTACTGTTATGGCTGTTATGTTATTAGACTGACCAATAATCCGATGTAATTGAATAAGTTTCAAAAAGTGTACAACTTTGGAAACAGGACAGACCAATTACCAATACTCAGAGCAATTATAGTTTTTCAGTTAGCCTATATCATTTTTTTTAAATAATTAAATTCCTATACTCAATAAAAACAAAACTTTTCCATATTAAAAATCATTACAAATTGTGTAGTAATGTTGTAGCTCAGAATACATTCTTTTATTTGATATGCAAAATATGAAAAGAATTAAACCAGATTGAAGCAGAAATACTTTTGGCAAAAAGTAATGTAAAAGAAGAAAAACATTTGGTTTTATTTGAATTATTATTTCAATTTATAACATATTCTTAAGGCACATTTTTAACAAGTACTTTACTGTAATTTGTAATTAACACTTTAAAATGTTTACTTTTGGTTTTAAAACTGTTTAATTCATTTAGAACTGCATCATAACATTTACCAAGCATGATGAAAGCAAATAGCAAGATGTAAACTTGGTGTGCTTCATTATTGGTAAACTTTACATGGAAGTTGAAGATAACTATAACAAGCCAAAGTAAATAGAATGTTGCTTCATGGTACCTTTCCCATAATGTTTTAAAACTTCAATGAGATAATTTTTTGCTCTGGAACAAGTGTTGTTCTCAACTTAGAACACACCTTAAAAACTAAGAAATCATATTCAAATACCAAAATACTTTTTACTCAGAACATGTTTGGATGGTTTAGAAGAATCTGAATCAAAATGTCCAGCAGAACATCTTTATTTGTTTCTGTTGAATTAATTATTGGAATGCAGGACTTCCTTCTGTTCTTTGAAGAATGTTACCTGGAAAACATTCCATTTTGATTTAGTGTTCTTTTTTGTTTTTAAAGTTGTGGAAGAAAAACTATGAAAAAATATAGTAATGCTTAGAATAATTTGTATATTATTTTTACTACATAGAAACTGTATAAAACTTTGCCCAGAATTGTACAATTTGAATTTTAAAGTTTTCTTTCTTTTTTACCTTTTTGAAGTGAAATTTATTATCCCTTATTTGAATGTCTTTTTCTGTTTCAATTCTCCCTTGTTTGAAGCTGGAAGAATGTAATGGTATTGAATTATAGTATTTTGATTGGTAAAATTTTTATGGTCATTATTTAGATCATTGTATTTAGTATGTTGTTGTTTGTTTGAATAATGCTTAATTCAAGTATTGATTATTGTTTTTCAGAGATGCATTTTGAGAAGTTATAATAATAATTTTTGTGATAAACATTGGTTTTGACCAGGTCATCTCAAGTGATTTCTAATTCAAATTTTAATTGTTTTAGTGGTTTTCATCTACTGACGGAAAGGGAAGAGTGTACTATTTTGAAGAAAATAGCAATGTGTCAACCTGGACTCTGCCAAATATTGTTGTTGCAAATGAAGAGGTATGTAGCACACTTAGAACTTGGGGAACAATACCTCAGTATTCTAATTCTTAGATGAAGTATTATTTGCATTTTGATTTGAAAATGTGTATGTAATATTTATTTTTTATTGCATGGAATTTTAAGGAAGCTTCTGGTGAACTTCAGTTGGAATCCAGTAATTTGCCATTACGTAATCAAGATGGAGAAAAAAAATCCAGAGTTGGGAAAGCTCGATCATTGTTTTTGTCAGATCCGAAGTGAGTTATTGTTGGTGTTCTCATACTTAGACCACCTTGATCTGTTACTTTCTATTATACATGTCTGTGTATCATCAGAAAGCATATTACAGTAGTTTCATCTAAAATGTTCTTTGGCATGATTATGTGGAATTTATGAAAGTATATAAGATAACTTTTTCCAGGCATAAGGAAACAACAAGTAAATCATCATCTATACCTAGAAACTGGTTGCAGCTGTATGGCTTGGACAAGGTTCGTTAAAATTAACTGACTATTTGAATGTAATATTATTGCTGAAACTTTACTCTTGCACAATTTTGTATTAGAGGTGATGATCAACTCTACATTTGTTCATGAAATTAAATTGAAAATCTGTATATCTGGTATATTTCCCTCATCACTCGAAAAAAAAAAAAATTGAAAAAATGTCAGCATATAAGTTTCAGCATATTTTTGTATTTAGAACATAAACAGTCTTTAATTCTTCTATATGTGTTTCTCAAATGAGCCGTGACTGATGTTGATTTGGCAGTGAAACCATTCTTTATTGGCAACCTTGACTCCATAATGAATATTTCCAATTTAACAATGCACACAGAAATTGGGAGAAAACTATCCGGCCTCCATCCATTTGAAAGATGTCTTTAGTTTCATTAGATAGCCAGAAATTCAGGAATATCCAAAAACAATAGTTTGTGATTCTGTCATGATTGTGTCATTCTGCCTCTGCCTCTGCCTCTGCCTCTGCCTCTGCCCCTTCTCGTTTGGATGCCCTTCCATGAATAGTGTTTCCATCCACGCATTCAATTTTTTCGCTGGGATGACTTTGGGCCACGGGGCGGTACGTACTGACTGGGCATAACTTATGTATAAACATTCTTTAGTTGTTCGTTCAGCTGCGGCAAATACTGGCAAACTGTTAACGGTTGCAAGGTACGAATTTCGCGTGGATGATTTCATGCAGTCTTCAAGCGCCGACTTTCAATGCATGTGTTATATTGTGAAAGGCCTGAGTCATATAGTACCGGCCAAGGTCGGTGCGTGGGATGGTCATCAGTCGTTCAACTCGAGGCTCTAGTGGTGATAGTGTGAGATTGATTTGATTGTA